TGGTTCGCTCGCTTCTACTGGATCTCTCAGTATTTTGTGGAAATTAGGTTTGCTAGATACTTTTTTTCTTTATTTCCCGAGAATTGAGAAGTTGATTAGGATTTCGAAAACGCCTCAGGTTATAAGTGTCTTGAAATTCAAAACATTAATTCATGCGTTGACGGCAGAATATTACCCCACCTGGCCTCCTTAAATTATTGTGCGACACTGCATTATAAAATTACGTTCAAATCTCTCGCCTTATCCAAATGGAGTGAAGAAAACAGTAAAACAACTTAAAAGCGATTATGTTTTTTTTTTCAATTGCGGTGAACAAACACCTCTTTGTGAAATGAATTCCGTGTTTACTTTAGGACTTTAGCCTGGGGGTGTTATATACGAGGATCGAGATATAGGTAGCAAGATATCTGACGTAACAACTAAATTTGAAAAGCTATTCTCACTCTGTTCAATCATATCAGTTATACACTGTTTTCATTCCTCCAGAGCCGAGAATTCCAATATCTCTGGGGAGTTGAAAGAGTATGAGAAGAATGATACGAGCATTTCGAAGAAATCCTAAATGCCCGCACGAGTGTCCATTTGAGGCACGGTCGAATTGAGGAACAAGATCAACAATGACTGTCGAAAGCACGAAACTTTATTGACGTATGCATTTATTGGTTACTTCTTCTGGTCACAATCTTCGATCACATACAAATTAACCTCGTTAACTAGATAATTTGGCCACTTTTGCCATTTTTATATTGCACTCCTTGAAACCAAAACCCTCCTTAGTACTTTGTTTTTACAAACTCAGTTATATTAGGTTGATCTGAAATAGACTTAACCGAAAAGATATTCAGGACAAGACGTCTTTCAAGTGTTCCCATAATTTAATTGTGGCCCAGGCAGGGCTTTCAAAAGTTGTGTTGTCCTGTCTATCCTTGTATATAAACCTTTGGCTATCGTATATAATTAGTATTAACGTGTTCTCTTGTGTACAATCTATAGCAGGGGTCTCAAACGCATTTGAGTGTGGGGCTCTATAGCCTACCCTCTAAATGTTAAAGGCCAACATGGCGTAGGGAGGAGGGGGGGGGAGAGGGCAGTTAAAATATATGGTGACAAAAACAAAAGCAGCGATGGTGCTCCACGTTGCAAAGCTGCCGAGTGTTTCAGCGACACCCAGAGATTTGTTGAAGAAGGGATCTCGTCCTATTTTCTTTTTGCAAAAAATAGCCGTTTTATCAGTTCCGTCCTTAGCTTGGATTCATTCATACAACGACTTCATATTTGTGCCTAGTGTGATTCTAACATCTAAGATACCACCATCCAACCAACGCGCTGGAATTTTTAAGTACAACTAGGAACCAAGCACACAATCGTTACTATGTCACTTAATTCACTCGGATAGTATCAGAGTTCTATATATCTCGAAATAAATTCTTTTCGTACGGTGGTTTTCCCTTTTCGGAAAATTTATATAGCAGAATTACAAGAAAATGCTCCTGTCTTGACGGTAGTTATGACGGAATATTCTTCGATCTGAGAGAAAACAAATTATTGCAAAATATTTTAAAACGTCATGAAAGCAGAGCTGCGTTTCTAGTGCAAATGCATGGAAGACAGGAGGTCATTATTTCTGAAACATGCAGCGCTCGAGGTATAGAAACAAGAGCAGGCTGCCACGAGATACTTGTGGGCCGCGTCCCACAGAGTCACCAACCGCGTGTGTCCCGAGTGCCGCGTGTTTCAGACACCTTATCTATATCTATTAGAGCTACCGGGTATGCTTGTTAAAGATAAAATGGCTTCCTTTGTGAAGGCTTGTAGACTTCATGTTTTTCTATGATTCGCGCGGAAGGTACACCAGTCCTATATGTGCGCCACGTAACATTAAACACTCTGAAGAATCAAAAAAAAGAAAAGAATACCTTTTAGAATTTTTTGTTGTTGTTGTTGCTTCGAAAACAAAGCGTTTTGAAAGTTTCATAGATTTGTTTCCAAACAATGGAATGGTTAAGGTTCCAATCCCATCACAAAACGCCCGTCAGTTCTAGAGGATTCTTAGAGTCGCTTACAAATTTTAGTTCCTCGATGTTTATCGAAGATTGTGGCGATTACTTAGCTCTTCATTGCTTTTCCTATTTGACTTAAAGATGAGTAGCGTATTACAGTGAGGCGGTATTGGAGCTCGCACCTGCGTGTACAGCGGAAGTGGAAGTAGTGGAGGAGCCCAGTGGCTAGATCCAAAACATTACGTTATTTGATCCCCCTCTACAAAACTGTTTTGTGCACATTACTTGAAATAAGTATTCAATCACAATTACTATTACTCTTGGTTATTACGTATTCAGTTAGATTACCTGCTTATCTGGGAGGAAAGGTAATTGACCGTTACTTGAAGAAACGACCGTTATTTTTCTGCTTAATACTGATTTGTAAAACGGAAAACTTTTTAATGGTGTGAAAACGGGTTTCATAATGTTTTTTTTTTGTTTTTTTTTTCACGTGGGATGATAATCACAGGATTATAAACTACTTTTTTTTCTAAGTTCACCGATTTCGGTGCAGCGTTGCGTATCGGAGACTTGTTTCAAAGTTTTGTTGGTAGTAAAGTTTGGAAATAAAGGGTGACATTAAGAGAGAAGAGAACAGTAACGTTTGCAAGTAATTTAATTACCTTTAAAATGAATGATATTACTCACGTTGTTATAAAGTTCATCACATGATTACAAAGCTATTTTGAAAAGTAATTGATTACAAGTAATGTTATCACACGTAATATGTACCGTACAAGTCTGTTACGAAGGAGAAGCCAAAAATAAATCAAACCCGATCTTTTGTATACTATATACCTTCGAACGAGTAACCGTTTGACACGAGGGAGTGGCTGGATCGAGGGAACGCGCGACGCACGTCGGAGGCTACTTTAAATGCATCGCCGTGTTCCGAAACCCTAGCAGCGTGGCACCCGTTTGACGTAAATCGCACCTACATGGCAGAACGTGTTGATACATCCACGACGCTCGCAGGAAAGGAGGCTGGACTCCGGATTTGGGTCAAGTTCCAACTTTAGCACCTCGGGGATACGGTGACTGCGACGCATCCTCCGACTGCCGAGTTTAACCGCCGTTCAAAGACGTAGTCCCTCAATCTTTCGCTCGATGACGTCATGAAAATGTTTAACTGTCGCCGACCGCAATCCTGGCGGTGTCACAGCATCCGGAGTAGATGTGGCAGACGCCTGTTTCTACTGCAGGTGGCTGTCCAGCTTGACAGTTCGCGGAAACTTCGGCAGCCAGGAGTTGGGACGCCGCAACAACAGCGACACTCGCGTTCCCTGGGGTTTTCTTTTTTTGAAACTTCGACTCCCAACCTCCAGGATCGCGACATCTGACAGCATGACGCTCCGACTTTTTGTGAAGTCATTTAGGCGGAAACACATTTGCGAAAAAAAGCCGAATTTTGTGCGAAAACCGCACACGAAAATCGCACGGCAGCTAGGCTCCTCCCCTTTTCGAAAAACCGGGAGCGGTTCGAGACATCTGCTGCGCCAGATATTTTCGCACGGCGCCTCCGAATTCCGGCCGGAGGAGCTCGGTGAGCGAAATCCCGGAACAGGACGGAACGAAAAGATACGTTCGGCTCGCAACATGGCTGTGTTCCAAAATTTACTCGATCCGACTCCGGAGTAAAGGTTTCGTACCTTGGCGTTTCAAAACTTACTCGCACTTACTCGATGACGTCAGAACTCGCGTTCCAGAAGCGGGTTGTTTACTCCGGAGTAATTACCCACGTTACCCTCCTCGATTGGGGGGTAACGCCGGATCAAATCGAGTAAATACGTCACGTGATCTGTTCGTCGTCTGCTTCCTGCGCCGACAGCCGTCAAAGCTCGATTGCTCCGTTGGCTTTTGCGGCAGACGTTCGAAATAACAAAGGAGGTGCGGCCATTTATATGTGGTTATTGCAATTTGCTGTTTTCAACGCAGGAATTTATTGCACCAGATCCAGACCGTGTACCTTCCCTCAGGAAGGTATACTTGTTGTCGTCAGAGTGCGAGCATAAACAGGAGCTTCTCCGCATCCTCGTCCTCAGCGTTGGAGGGAACTCCGTATTATTACGTTAAAGGATGAAAATGTTCGAACGCAGTAGATAATGTTGAAATTTCGGGGGGGGGGGGGGGGGGGGGGGGTTGTTTGTCCCCAGAGTGTGTAATGAGAAGATTACGCTAAAGCAGAGAAGGCATCGACGCTTTTATGTATACGTTCAGTCAACAACCCCACCACATTTCCCTCCCTAAAGAATTGTCTATGCGGTTTCGAAGTGCTCTCTGTGATTTTATAATCATATTCGCGTCAAAGCGAACGTAAGTTACATATCACTGTTGAGAAAGCCCCATGCGCTCTACCGCTACACCGTGTGGGAGCATTATCCGCAAAACGTAATCGGTGCTAACTACGATGAGTTGATGCTGTTTATGGCGCCTGGACAAGACTTACAGCGATCGCGCAAATTAATCAAAACAAAAATGTTGATGTCTAACTGAAATGAATGAGTATTTTTTATCTAAATATACGGCCTAAAAGGAAGGTGAGCAAAAGGAGCTGGTGGAGCCATTATCGTCTCTATCAGAGCGGTTAACATGATCGTCTCTATCTGGTTTCTCCGTGATCAAAAGATATCGTCTGCTATTTTCCGCCATCGCCACTATGTTTTCTTTTTGCCGTAGCCCAAGACGAAGCCAATCCGCGTAGTATCCAGGTGATTATTCCGGCCGTTCCAAAATCGAGTCGCGGATCGTTTACTCGCGATGTCACGTGGTATTACCCGCTGACGTAGGAAGCAGGTTACTCGGGTAAGATTTGGAACATAGCCATGGCGGCTCAGCAGGCGTTCTTATGTCAACCTTCGGAGGAAACCCCTTATGTCTCTGTCTCAAAGGGTGGTGGTTCAAAGGCTCGCGTGGCATTCAACGAGCTTTTAATAGTTGAAGTTTTTAAGAGGCGCGAAATATGGGACGCCAGTTCGCCAGACTACCGGAACAGCCTCGTGAGGTCGGAACACTGGAAGGCTATAGCAACGGTGCTGGGATCAAAAGGTGAGGTTTTACGCGATTCATGCAGTTGTGCAAGTTTCTACAAACACGTAGAGACAAGCCGATTCTTCTTTTCGTCTGTTCATGCTTGGCAGCGACCGGCGTTTCTCGTCGGAGTTATCATTTATTTGACACGCACTACGTACTACGTGGTTGCTCTTCAACATCCTTCGCGGGCATTATGCCGCTTAGATCTTACTTCGAAATGCACGCTCTCGAGTCTCGAACCAACTTGATGCGCTCGTGCAACTTAAAGGTCTAAAGCAACTGCATGTGAAGCGGAGTTCCGACCACTCTTGTTAAAAACAGGAGCCTAATTGTTTGTTGCTGAACTTTGCTCGCCGCTGGTTAAAGGAGGTGTAGCGACTAGTCGTTGTATCTCAGTGCATCATTAACTGAGCAATATCATACAGTAGTGAAATTATAAAGTCCGAGCCAGAAAAACACAGCTCTTGTTGGCAGTATAAATAAATTATTAAAAGTGTGTATTTCTTATTACAGTCCAGGACGTAGAAAGCAGATGGCGTAACCTCAAAGACACCTACGCCAAAAAACTCCGCGACATATCGAAGCTGGAAAGAAGTGGAGCGGCTGCACCACGAAAGGAGGTCCGCTGGATGTACTTCGAGCAGCTGAAATTTCTAAAAGATACCCTGCAGATGCGACCGTAGGAAACGATTTCGGCTATTTTGTTTTATTTAAAGGCCCCATATACTCCACCTCCAGAGTTCTGGGTAATGGTGAGGGAAGCGCAGATGGTTTACAAAGTACTTTTGAAAAAGCAGGCTTCCACAATTGTGCCTTCTCAAAGGTGAATATATGAGTCACAGTAGGCTGTATATAACCTACGAAAACAGTAAAACAGTAGTAAGCAAATAAAGCAGCTCATACATATTAAATTTACTCCTCATTAATACTGCCCTGGAGCGACGTCCACCGACGTGACGGGCAGCGGTTTCCCCAGGAATTGATATTAGCGGGGTGTCTAAATTTTTAGGGGGGTGGGGCATTGACAAGGGGAGTCGTTGCGAATTAAGAGGGTGCCTTCAGAAAAACAATGGGAGGGGGGGGGGTACACCCCCCTTAGGGGTGTGTAGGGAAATCACTGGTGACCGGTTAAAAACGATAAGGGAAAGGAAGCACGGGGAGAAGAAAGCAGACAAATTGATTGTGCCTTTTCCTTTCATATTCGCAGCACATCAAGCAGCATATCACTAGATGGTCAAGAAGACTGCACACAAGGCAGTGCCGCTGAAGAGGACACGCCACTAGTTCTGCAGTGGAACATCATTGACGAAACCGGCTCCCCATCCACTCCTGGCGATGTGGTGCTTTCAACGACTTCCGCAGCTCTTTCCGACCCATCACATGTTGTTGAGGAAGTGCCATTGGAAGTGCTGCCTGTGCCATTGCAAGCAAGTACAGCTTCACACCATACGCCGTCACAAAGGTTGCCACGGCAGCCCGTTCAGCAGGAAGCAAGGCCCCCCAAAAAGAAGTCCCGAACGGACCAGCAATGAACGCAGGTTGTCAGAGACATTGACCAGGAGCTCGAGAACAAACCTGATGAGTGGGATTTTTTTTTTTAAAGGACTCAAAATACATACCAAAGCTATTCCTTCCCACAACGTGGTCGATTGTCAAGTTCATATCTTACAGGTCATGAAGGCCTACTCTCGGGGAGTCGTGCCTAAGGTCCTCTGGGACCTCCAGATTAACTCATGTGGAGGTCGAACCGTCCAGCCCACCTTAAGTGAAGACTAAGAAGAGAAATTTTGAGTTGCATTCCATGAGTGTGTGAATCCCAATTTTTGTTAATGCTGTGATATTTAGCTTTTTTTATTACTTGGTCTGTGATATCTTTTCTTTAACCTTGATGCTCGGTCAGCAATGCTTTTTTAAACTTTGATACTCGGTCAGTGTCATATTTGTTTTTAGTTTCCATACTCTGTCAGTCATATTGTTGAACCGTCGAGCCCACGTTAATTAAAGACAAAGAAGAGAAATTTTGAGTTGCATTCCACGAGTGTGTGAATCCCAATTTTTGGTAATGCTGTGATGTTTAGCTTTTTTTATTGCTTGGTCTGTGATATCTTTTTTTTTAACCTTGATGCTCGGTCAGCAATACTTTTTTAAACTTTGATACTCGGTCAGTGTAATGTTTGTTTTAGTTTCCATACTCTGTCAGTGATATTGTTGAAATAATATTTTATGTATTGCTGTAAGTTTACGATGGAAGCTTTCAATTGCCTTATATCAGCTGTTGAAATTAGTGCTTTGTTTATTTCTCAATTTACAAAAAACATTCGGGCAGCCTTATGATGACATCAGTGCTTTGTTTTGTCACTCAGTTCGTGATGCATTGCTTTTTTAGGAGAAAATATCTTGTATGCGACAGTTAAAAAATTTTTATTTGGTGCAATTTTTAATTACAGCGTTTTAATTTCTCTCTGAGTCTTTCTGTTACGGTTGTGTCTTCTTCCATGGGAGCTGGCCCGGTGCACTCAAAAAGTAAGTCGTAAACAGCTCCCTTACAGATTTTGCACTCTCAGCAGGGTTTCTGGCATGAGTACAACCTAAGGACGTTAGGCCGCTGTCTTCCTGCTCAGTGCGCCAAGCACCGTCGATCATAGTTCCAGTTGGAGTAACATGGTCACCATACCCATGTGGGCAGTAGAAACTGTCTTCTTGACCTGTTTTGGACGTCAGGTAGTTATGTAGCACACAAGCTGCCAGAACCAGGAGCTCAGCATTTTTGGGAGACTCCGCCAGAGGTCTTCGGAAAACCCGCCAGCGGGACGAGAGAATTCCAAATGCGTTCTCCACGCACCTCCTTATATGAAACATGAAACACAAACAATAGGATAAGAAGCTGCTCTGCAATAGAAAAAACGCTTCCAGTGGCGCACTGCTAGATATTTCAGTTTGAATGGCAGCTGAATACATAACGTTTATGCATAATTCTTGACTATTGCAGGGATATCTCATAAGCTCCCCCTTCAGCTGTAAATTGAACTTGACTAATGAGGATGCTCAACATGGCATTCTGGTAATTAAGGTGCTTTGAATGTTTTAGAGCCAGGAGACCTAGAAAGCATCTGATGTATACCTTGCTCTGCTTAATCTCTGGTTGAAATTGTCTTTTGCGTTTTCAAGGTTCTGCCCCGGGTAGGGTCTCATGAAATCATCCCGGAGCTGAAACGCCTCGTCACCAATAAATACATGCGGTGCGACCACATTTGAGCCCGGTAGCAACTTCGGGCCCGGCACCTTCAACAAGCCCTTCTCCATGGCAATGCCAAAGTTGGAATTTTTCAGCACTCCGCCGTCACTGTTTCTGCCATATGCCCCCACGTCCACAATAGTGAAGCAATAGTGAGCGTCTGCAGAAGCCATGAGCACGATGGAGTGCGTTTTCTGAAAACAAAACACCAGGAAATATGAAGTTTGGTAATTTTTGCTTTCATCTAACTCAAGATTAGAATCACATAAACAACATGCCATAATTAGTCCTGGAGCGAGGAAAAAGGGGGATGCCACACAAAATGCAAAAAAGGGGAAGTGCACGATACGCGCATAACACACTATGGCCATAAATGCTATTAATGCTTGAAAGGTTCTATTAAATGTAAAGATTATCACACCTTGTAATTGAAATATAGGGGGCCGCTCCTAACAGGTGCCTGCATCTGGACATGCTTTCCGTCAACTGCTCCGACGCAGTTTGGAAATTGCCAGAGTCTCTGAAATTCCATAGCGATGTCCTGCCATACCTGAGTGTTGGGAGTCTGGATTGATTAAAGCAATGTGTCATTATAGGATACCAACATACAAAGAATAGGCACAGACCGGCATGTAGAGTGGCCTCAGCCTTTCCCACAGACTCTTGCATGTGTCGATAATGGCAGCTCTTGCAGTCGATATGCCCACACGGAAGGCCAGTGCGACATCCTTTACAGGATCTCCTGACGATAGGTGCCTGGAACGAATGCAGCAGAGGGAGCGTTGCGCAGGCACATAATATTGCAAATCAAAGGGTGGATAAGATATAAAACAATCAACCTGGTAAGCTATTGCATGAGAATTTACGTCACCCTTACCTCAGCGTCATGGCCAGCCGCTCCGATGCACTAATTGGTTCCCTGCACACATAGGAACGTCGAAGGTCGTCTTCTACAAGTTTGAGCACGTAATCATACTCTTGCGGGGTCATGCGGTAGAATTTCTTAAAACAGTCAAGATCCCCGGCCCGCATAAGCTTCATCTGAAAGAGATAACCACGACATTCTGTTGTAAGAACTAGACTGCTACGATATCCGAGGTACCCCCTAGGGTTATTAAACCGTATTGGGGAATCGACAGCAGTACATAAATATTGCCAGCCATTTTTTGTGACTTAACCTATTACGTTTGGAGTCCCACAGGTTAATATTCTCGGTTCCCTTAATGTCAACATGTACATAAACGATACTGTTTAATATAAACTCTGTAACAAACTTTAGCATTTCAATAAATGGCATTGTCTTTTTCAGCTGCGAATGAGAATAAATTGATAGACAGGGCAAACTTTCCCTTAATGCAGCTTGAAGCTTGGGTGCTGTGCAATTGCTTGACAATTAATAATAGCAAAACAAAAAGCCATACCGTTCCGACTAAAGGGGAAGAAATAAAGTATTAACCAAAAGCATTGTAATAAATTCATGCCTAATAGAAATTATAAGTTCCTTTAAGACCATAGGGGTTAAGGGCTCGTCAAGCTGTTTCGAAGTTTTTTGTTTTTTCTTTGACCTCCTTTATTGATGCATTATCGAACGATAATAAATTTATTATTAGTCTTTTCTTTTTGACGAACGTACGTGCAAAGCGGAATTTGTTTTAGACTTTATTTTTAAACAAATCACCGCCGGAGACGTCAGCACGGCGAGCGCGTGTGCCTACAAATCCAGCAAGCTCCTTGGTGCTTGAATAAATTAGCAAAATGTCTATTTACATGCCACATAAAGGTTGTACATACCGCAGTGAAGAATTCGCTTTCTTGCTGTCTTTTCTGCCACAGGGGACGCACCCTCCAGCGCCTTTTCATTTTTTGAGGCTTCCTCATCAGTTGAAGCACGATTAGCTTCTTCTTCAACAGTAGAAGTCGGCGACGGCGATCAGGCATTGCGGACTTCACAAGATCGGCGGCCCTTTTGTATTTCGCGTGGGAAAAAGCACGAAAACCGCAGTGCATTGCGATTTCCGCGCTGCGCATTTCACCTCATGTGGCTCGTCTTCCGAAAATCGCAAGCTACGATTTTCGCAGCCTCCGATTTCCGTCCGATTTTCAGTTCGTTTTTTCGCAAATGTGTTCCCGGCTTTTATCGCCACTTTTTGAGCGCTTTAGATGCGTGGGCGAAACCGGAAACAAAACAAAGGTCGGAAACGCGTTCCAGGCATCGTATTTGTCGTGCTCAACAGTACAGAGTTTTAGGGAACCGTTTTGGCACATCCAATACGATACGATGGTCCCTTCGGAAGGAACTGCGAATCTGCTATACCGCATAAGACTCGCGCACATGCGCAGGTTCATACAGGAGGGCCCATTCTGCCCTATCGGGCGTGCAAACACGTTTCCTTAGAACACTTTCTAGTGTTTACCCGGCTCGACAGCGTGGGAAGTATTTTTTTTAAATTTAGGACGGGACAATGAACACCAGCAAGTTTCAGAATCGCGCACGCAAAATCTTTGTGCTCGCAAAAAAAATAGCGTCGTCCACGAGCGGCCATTTAAAGCGCGGTTTGGACACCTCCTATGAGCACAGTGACGAGGACGATATTTCTTTGCATACCCAAACGTTCGCGCATGCTATTCAAAAAGTTGTTATTAAATTCAGGAGCGTGTTTTGATATTTTGTATATTTTTTTCTGCCTCTACTTTGCTTTTGCTCTCAAAGGTAGGCAGAGGTAAACGTAGCTTACTTTCAAAGATATGCATTGATTATTGTTTTACTTATGTCACACATTTCCTCTAAACGAACAATTGAAGAGAAGGTTCCCCCCCTCCCCCCCCCCCTGAAGGATACCTTCACTACAAAAAGAATGAAAGGAATAGAGAAGTTTCCTTCTTACAGGGTGAGATTAGAAAAGGAATAAAAAAGCACAGTAAGAGCATCAAAAATAATGATAAGGTATAGTTATACCAAACTTAAAAGTAGACTTTGTTTCACTGCTTAGGAAATAGGAGAGCTGGAAGAGAACGGAACATGACTTGTTTTTACAACTTTTAAGGTGTACCGACCACATAAATCTATAATTGTCGTTTCTGTAATTTTCTTTAGCCCTCTGGTGTCATTGTGCGATTATATATTATTTCATTACATATATTGTTTGACAGT